AATCAGCTCCGTGAAACGATGGTGACTTGGTAGAATTGCTGGGTGCTTCATTTCGTAGGGGAGATTGGCGTTCTGGAGTCTCCCTCCTACACGAAGTGTTCCTTCTCCATCGATGAAAGGATGTAGCGAGCGTAGTTTGCTTTTACTGGGCAGGTTGGTTCCTTTATGGAGACATGTAAGTTCGGTGATGAATGCGTCGTTTTGAGCCATGTGACGCTTGTTGTTCTATTTTTTTTTTTTTTTTTTATATTTATTGAAGAAAATGATTAAATATTACAATAAACGGTTTGACAGCTTTCACCTTTTGTTCTTCTTCTTCATTCTGTTGGAGTTATTGTTCCCACTTTTCGGTCTTCTCTACGAACAGATTTGAGGTTACAAATGAATCGGTTGATAACCGCGAGAATTCGACATACTACTCGAATCGACGAGTAGCTATTCAAAAGATACTGTTCTATGGTGAAATCACTCCTTGGGACAATATTGGTATTTAAAATCGTGACTTGATGGTTTGCTTCACATATTGCAGGTTGTGCGACTAGGTGATCTAGGAAATCATCTTACTTGTAGAGCCAGGAAGGTCCCGTCCACCAGAGTGGGTGCTCCAAGAGTTCAGATGGCGTTATTCCTCTTGACGCACAGTCCGCTGGGTTATCTCCGGAAGCTACATGATGCCATGAGCTTCTTGGAAGTACATTCAGGATGGTTGCAGTGCGATTGGTAACATATGTTTTCCACTTTCGTGGGTGCGATGATAACCATTCTAGTACTATTGTTGAGTCCGACCAAGCATGCATCTGCAGATTGAGGTGATCGAGAGCAGAAGAGATCTTCTTCATCAGCGTCGTCAGGAGCACAGCAGCATTCAACTCGAGGCGTGGTAATGTAATTTGCTTGATAGGTGCTACCTTGGTTTTAGCGGCGATTAGTGTAACTCGTACTTCACCGTTCGGATCAACCGAACGGCCATAGACTACTGCGGCATATGCGGACTCTGATGCGTCTGAGAACCCAACAAGCGGCATTCTTTCTTCGTGATTAACAATCCAACGTGGTATACGGACCTTTTCCAACAGGTGAAGATTGTTTTTAACGCCAACCCACTCTTCCTCAATTGCTGCGGGAAGTAGGTCATCCCAGGTCAAGTCGTACAACCAGAGCTGCTGGAACAGGATCGAACAGCTTCGATGCGTCCGACAGAAGCTGACGTTTGGTGTTGCTGCTATCGATGTTTAGATACACCTTGAAGTCGAACGAGTCTTCTCTGGGCGACCAACGTATACCCAAGGCTTTAACAGAATCCGAGTCATTTGTAAACAGCAAAGGAATTGGGCCATCTCTACTATCTGCAATGTCCTCGACGAGTTCTGGTATATTCGACGACCATTTCCTAAGGGCAAATCCAGCGGCTTGTCGAAGAGATTCTGTAGCTAGATATGCAGCACATGATGTTCCGTACGTAACGGTAAGCAGGCGAAAGTGTTGGATGGGATCTTCGGGATTCTTCCTAAACACCACTCGGAGGTAGTCCACTTGATCCTCAGCTACCCATACTTGTCAATACATCTTCTCTGCATCGCTTGTGAACACTACTGGATAACTACGAAAGTGAGACAATACATCCAGAAAGTTTTCAGTGTTATTAGGTCCAATAAGCAATCGATCGTTGAGCGAGACTCCCGATGAACACGTAACTTAGTCGTTGAGCTATCTTCATTGTGCACAGCGTGATGCGGTAAATAGAAACATTCGTTCGGCTGCTTGTCGATTTCCTCGTCTGGGACAGGTTCCATGTGGCCCAAACGCAAATACTCCGACATAAGTGGTCGTCCATTAATTATGTCACACATTTAGGGGGAAGGGGGGTTTTTGAAAACTGTGACGATCCATACAAAAAAAATTAAGGTCCATACAAAAAATGTGACAAAGCGAGGAGGGGGGGGGGGTTGAAAATGGGCCAAATTTGCGTGACATAATTAATGGACCATCCCTAAAGTGTTCGTACTGCTGCTTAAACGTCGGATTCACCAAATTTTTTCGCTCCATGGCATGCAACCTCTTGACGGCTGCCACTAGCGATTCTCCTAGCGCAGTTTTCGTTTCGTCAAATGGTAGCCGAACCACAAATCTGCCAGTTTCATCTCGCTTGTGAGTTGTTTTGAAAATCTCAGTAGCACGCATCTCATCAGCTGTGAGCGACGGAACTTCTTCACTCTCCCAAAACATTCGCAGCGATTTGTCGATGTTGACATCGGAGTCGACATTGAGGGACGTACAATGTGTTTGAATACAAGCCCCACCTTCGAATCGTCCAGCTACCAGCCAGCCAAACACCGAGTTCTGTGCTACTGGCAATCCCATCTTCATCGGTAATTTGACCCATTCGGAGCATAGGTAGGAACAACTCTACTCCGAGAATGACGTCGATTTCTCGAAGCGTCGAACGGGATCGCTTGCAAGAACATCATTCGCTTCAAATCGAAAGTCTGACTTGGCATAGTTGTAGTCAAAACATCCAGAACGTATGCTTGAGTAGTCAGGATTACTTCATCGTTGAATCGAGATGACAGTTTCACATGTACTATCCCCTTAGTAGTACCAGCTGCGGCGCCTGCCACTCTTACCTCGAATCTTAATGAGTGCCGTAGGTAGCACCGCAATATTGGTAGCCGACTGTGTCGCAAGTACATCCGCTTTGAAGCTCGAGACCTCATTCGTTGAGCGAACTTCCTGTACCGCTGGCTCTGAGGCCGGTGAGCTGTATGCCGATTGGATTGACGGTGCTTGCACTAAATGCGCTGCCTAGCTGTCACCCTGTTGACAGAGGAGCGTGTGTTTTCGCTGATTGCAACCATTGACCCTACACGAAGACTTCGATGAACAATTCTTCACTGAGTGCGACGGCCTGAGGCAGTTGAAGCACAGTCTTGACTTCTGCACTAACTCCCTACGGTCAGCGACGCTTAAGGCTTTGAAGGAGTCACACTGATAGATCTGATGCTGTTCCGAAGAGCACTTCGGGCACAGCTGGGGTGCGATGTGAAAGCTTTGAAACTTCCTCTCTATAGGCTTCGCTTGATCCTTCCGAATTTCCTTTTTCGTAGCTTCCGGATTCGTAAAGATCTTCCGCGTGAACGAGGAACATGTCTCGAGGGCATCACAACGGTTTTCGAGGAATTTCAGGAACTCTTGAAACGTAGGATTCTGCATATCGACGATTTTTGTGGCCCACTGAGAACGTGTTTCCTTGTCGATTTTTTTTCCAAAAGGAGGTGAATGAGCCACGGGTCACACGATTCGTACTGGGCACCCATAGCACTCAGTTGTCTAATAACTTCGTCGGATGTCGTTACTAGTTTCCGAAGGCTGCTCGGGTGCGTAGATGACACGACTGGCTGTTCAAGGAATTTCTTCACTAGCGAGAAAACGGTGAACTTATGTTGATCATATCGTTCCACTAACTTGTCCCACACTTGGTTGTAATTCGCATCCGTGATCGTAAACGAGCTCACCAATGCCTAAGCTTCACCGTCAAGGTATGAAAGGAGATACTGCAGCTTTTGTGAGTCACGCAACGTCTCCTTGTCGTGAATGGTACTAACAAAAAGGTCCTTGAAAGAGCGACAGTCCTTGCGGTCACCGTTGAAGATAGGAATGTTGATTGGAGGAATCGTACGTTGAGCATTGGTTTAGCTGCAATGGCACGAAGTGATGCTTCTCGAAAGTCCCCTAGCTGGGCAGTTAACGCACTCGTTTGGCTTGGTTCTACAGGAGCAACCGTTGCTTGGTTCTACAGGAGCAACCGTTGCGTTTCCAGCAGTGCCGAAACTGCATGCCGTAGATTGTTGGTTGGTTCCTCAAACGTGTCATCACCACCAACAGACCCTTCCTCCATCTGCGAGTAGATACATTTGGCTTCATAATATAACTCCTCAAACTCAGTCCGGTAGTTGAAAACCGATGAAACTGCTTCCAATGACGGCGATTTCACTCTGCAAGTCGAAAAAATTGTTTCCGAGCTGGTGCAGCCGATCGACGCGTTCCCTAACCTCACAAAGTTGAGGGCTCCGGTTCTGGACGCGTTTCGCCATATTTAGCTCCCACTTCATCTTCTCGAAGAGCGAGTTCCGCTTGATCGTCAGTACTTCCATAGTCAATCGTGACATCCGGAACCGAAGGACCATAAAATGTTGTTGTATCAAGCGGAATTTTCAGTTTAATTTTCGGAAATAAATTCGCGACGAACTGTTTTGCGTTGTATCTTGTTTGGGTTTTTATTTGCAACTGTCAAAAACAAAGAAACATAATGCGCGGGAATTCACTTGAGCGAGGGAGTGGTTGGTTGATGTACTCTAAAACAATTTACTCTAAACAATTTCAGTTCATCATTTTCAACATATCATCAAAAATCTTCACCAAATATTAAATACCTTCAAAATGTCTGTGGGATTAAAATGTCTACACAAATTCAAATGTCTTAAAAATGCAGACATATTTTTAAATCTGGCATCCCTGAGTGCAATGTTCAATGCAAAATTGATTTAGTTGTTTTCAAATTGACGAGCATAATTTGGCTTCACTAAAGGCATACAAACTCCTCCGATTTGAACTTAATGAAAACCGTCTTCTCCTCCGTAACCCTATACGTTGCTTCCACTTCAACGAGATTAGCATCCAGTGCCTTCACAAAACTGACAATTTCGTCCATTGTGGGCTTCGCACTTCCATTGGGAAAGACAAATCCAATCGTTTTCTTTACTTCCACCATTTTGAACAACAAAATACATTGGCCGAGCTGTTGTAGGCAGCGAACAAAACGAACAAACTCAGCGAGCTGATTGAAAGCTGAATAAGTATTTTTTGCCTGAATATAATTTATTATTCAGCTATGAATGTTTATTGGGATAGTTGCTATTGATTTTATGGACGATCGAAATGAAAATCAAAACCGAATAAATTATAACCAAAGCCCTTGTTCTCCTTTATCTCACACCAAACAGATCCTGGCAAGCATCCTGGCCCCGCTGTTGGATGTGGTGTTCAGTTCCCAGGAGAAGGACAAGGTAACCACAGTCGTGACCGGCGTTATGTACAACATTGTGCCTTATCTGAAAACCCACACCGTGAAGAACATTCCAACGTTCCACGCGTGCTCCCACTTGCTGGCGAGTTTGAGCACCTATCAGGTCAGTTTCCTATCAATTTGAGCGTTCCCCATATGTGACTAATGTGTTCTGCTATGTTCACAGTATACTCGAAAAGCATGGCGGAAGGACGCTCTCGATCTGCTGCTGGATGGAGCCTTCTTCCAGTTCGATAGCCGCTGCTTGCCCTACTGGAAAACTATCCTGGATAGTTTGATGACCTGTGATAATACCACTTTTAGAGATCTTATGAGTAGGTTTTCCGAAGACTAGCTTGAATTTCAGTAATGTGCAATTCTTTAATTCGCAGATCGCTTGCCACTAGCACAAACCGGAACGCTGAACATATTCACCTCCAAGGAACAGGAGTACGAACAGAGGGCACTACTGCTGAAGCGGTTAGCCTTCGTCATCTTCTGCAGCGAGGTGGATCAATACCACAAGTACATGCCGGAGATTCAAGGTTTGTGACCTTCTGCTCAACGTCATCGGAGAATCCTAGTTGAAACTTTGAACATTTCCAGAACAACTTGCCAACAGTCTACGGCTCCCGCAGGTAGTCCCCCTTATCCAGTCGGCTGTGTTCCTCTGCTTCCGAGTGCTGTTGCTGCGAATGTCGGCCGACAACGTGACCAGCCTCTGGCCGATCATCATTGCCGAAATGGTGCAGGTGTTCCTGTCGATCGAGCAAGAACTGATGACAGATACCGAGGAGTTTAGGTGAGTTCCGGGTTCGGTTGGATTCCAAGTGTCTCTCTTGCTAACTTATGCTCATCACATCGCTCTGCCAGTAGCCACATATCGCGGTTCTTTCAGTTTCTAATCCAACGCTTTTGTAAATACAAATTTCCATCCATACGCTTTCAGCTCGCTCTCTCCTTCTCCACTTCTGACTCCGCCTGTTACAGTAGGACATCACACCACATAACTATTGATTGTAGTAGAATATTTGCTTTTGGTTTTTTCTTATTAAAAAAACAACATAGTTCAAAGAAGAAGTATTGCTCAAATTTTGACCAGTCGATATTTTGTCTCTTTTTCTCTCTTTCTCTGACCACTGTCCCACACTGTTTATCAGGTCGCAATCGAGGTAAGAAAACGTTCCCTCCCTTGAGTAACTTCGCAACTCCGTGGATCCGGTCCATGCCCAAGCTCAAACCATGCTCTTACTAAGGAGGTCTCAATAATTTTATTTTTCCAGTCAACACATTCGGATGCTATCCGGGCTCGACACGGCCTGGGTGACCAACACCAACAACGGTCTGTACTCGTACGGGCATCCCCACTGGCGAATGGTACAGCTGGAGACGGCGAAGCTGCTGGAGCTGGGATGCGTCCTCCCAGCGACCATTTTGCCGCACTTTCAAATGTAAATAACCTAAATTCGGTTGTGGGAGTTTTGGGTGGATTTCCTAACCATGTCGACTACGACGACTCGTTGCAGGTACCGTTGGGCGTTCGTTAGCAGTCAGAACGAGCACTATCTAACACCGGGAAGCTACGACGATGCCAAATGCGTAGCCTTCATTCCTCACGTCACTCGGATATCGCAGCTGATGGACTTCCGGTATACGTCACATTCGCCGGTAGGTACTGAATCTCAGGATGAATGCGTTTATGGGATTTCCAAAGTATGCAGCTAGTTATGGGTACCATTACTTATCCACAGAAGGCCCAAACCACCAAGGGAAGCCACATCATGCTGACCTGCCAGTCGATCAACACCCTGCAGGATCTGTACAGCTTTTTCTCGACGCTGTCGATGCGTTGGCCGTCGCACATTTCCTTCACGGCCGACACCGAGAAGGACACCAAAAACTGCCTCGACGAGGTGGAGAAGGTCCTGGCGCTGGATTTCCTCGAAAAGATGCCCACGGCCAAGTAGAGCATATCGGGTAAGTACTTGCCCATGTGCTCCATTTGAATCGGGTATAACCGAAAACTAGCCGTACGTGAAACTTGAATTGTGATCACAGATATTTTGTTTGTTTTGGTTCGACTTTCCGTTCCATCGTTATTCCTCTCTTTCTGATTGTGTAAAGTCAAAAATTTATCAAATTAACTCTATTTATTCTAAATTAGGACGTAAGTGAAAGTCAGGGAAACGGAACTAAAGCGACGGGGGTTTGACTGCGCATGATGGTCTCGTTCTCTTCCGGATAGTGAAAATATTTGAAAAGTGATATAAAGACAGAACGTATAGCACACGAGATGAACAGACACACACACACGCAGATTACAATATAGATTTACGTAGATGGAAATTAGAGAGCTAATATATAATTTAAATTAAAGAAGAGGAAGTTCGATTTCTGCATGTTCACTAGCTTATTTTTCTATGATTGCAGAAGTTCCTTGAATGATGATGAATCAAAAAATGATTACGAACCGTAAGAATGTGTTTAGTTGACTGTAAGTAAGTTATCAAGACAAAAAAAATTCAAACAAACAAACAACCTAGTGTCCCCAACACAATGAATGGATTGTGAAATGTGAAAATTTTAATAAATTTGAAAAACGTTCGCGATTGTTTTCGAAAAAGTTAAGCCAGGACAATTTCAGTACCGTTTGTGGTGTATCACAAAATAGCCATGATTTCAACGTTGGGAATCTTGTGGAACACGTAGCCATTCAGAAATGAAATCCGACTGGCCATCTATTAGGTATAGCTAATTGCTAACGCTAAAATTGTTTCGATTGTTTCAAAAAATTTTCAAAATGGTGTGTTCAATATTTTTCTATAAATCGTAGCACGAAAACGTTTCATTTAATCGAGATGACGTCTACAATAAACAATAAAAACAATATCATACACGCAGAAAAATGGATTTTTGTTTGAGGGCCTAATGTATTTTGTTATTGATTCAAACATATTGTATCACTATTTGAACAAAACATATTTTTGAATCAACAAAATGGTTTTTAGAATCAAAAGACAGATTATTGACTCTAAAACCGGTTTGTTGATTCAAAAATATTTTTCTTTGAATTAACCGAATAATATATTTGAATCAATACCAAAAATATATTAGGCCCTGAGCCAAAAATATATCTATTTGAATTTAAAAATCATTTCTCTGCGTGTACCTTACCTTACCAATCAAGCTAAGGCCTTGTTGTCCTCTGCTGTCCGAAGAAGTCGTCTCCACTCTACTCGATCTATGACCACAGTTCACCAGCCTCGTAGTCTGCGAAGGGTCCACAGGTCACCTTCTACTTGATCGATCCTGCGCGCCTTTTCTTCTTGTTCCTGTTGGGTCGCTTTCTAGAACCATTTTCTCTGGGTCGTCGTGCGGCATTCTTACGACGTGCCCAGCCCACCGTAGTCGCCCAATTTTTGCAATGTGGACGATAGATGGTTCTCCCAGCAGCTGATGCAATGCGTGATTCATTTGCCTCCTCCACGTTCCGTCATCTATCTGCACTCCACCGTAGATGGTACGCAACACCTTCCGTTCGAAAACACCAAGGGCGCGTTGGTCCTCCACGGGCATAGTCCAGGTCTCGTGGTCGTAAAGGACCACCGGTCTAATCAGCGTCTTGTAGACAGTCAACTTCGTGCGGCGGCGAATTTTATTCGACCGGAGCGTCCTCCGGAGTCCAAAGTAGGCACAATTCCCTGCCATAATGCGTCTTTGAATTTCTCTGCTGGTATCATTTTCGGCGGTCACCAGTGAGCCCAAATACACGAACTCATCGACCACCTCGATTTCGTCACCGTCAATCTGAACTCGGGGTGGGAGGGAGGCTAACATTGTCTTCCCTAGAACCTCTTCCTTTCATGTATTTTGTCTTTGATGCGTTGATGGCAAGTCCAATCCGCCTAGCTTCAGCCTTCAGTCTGATGTACGTTTCCGCCATCGTCTCAAAGTTCCGTGCCATGATGTCAATGTCATCGGCGAAGCCAAGAAGCTGGATGACTTCCTGTAGATCGTGCCACTCGTGTCTATCCCAGCTCTTCTAATCACACCTTCTAACGCGATGTTGAACAGCAGACACGAAAGTCCATCACCTTGCCGTAACCCCTTTCGAGATTCAAAGGGACTCGAGAGTGTCCCCGATACTCGAACAACGCACATCACTTGACCAATCGCGTCAGTTTATCCGGAAATCCGTACTCGTGCATAATCTGCCATAGCTGACCTCGATCGATTGTGTTCTATGTGGATTTGAAATCGATGAACAAATGATGTGTGGGCACGTTGTATTCGCGGCATTTCTGCAGAACCTGCAGAATCGCGAAAATTTGGTTCGTGGTAGCGCGGGCACCCATGAATCCCACCCGGTATTTCCCCACGAACTCTCTTGCAAATAGTGACAGGCGGCGGGATAAAATTTGCGAGAGTACCTTTTAGGCGGCGCTCAGCAGTGTGATCGCGCGGTAGTTGCAGCAATCCAACTTGTCGCCCTTTTTGTAGATGGGGCATACGACACCTTCCATTCACTCCTCCGGTAATATCTCCTCCTCCCAAATCTTGGCAATTACCCAGTGCAGCGCTCTAGCCAGTGCTTCACCACCGTATTTTAATAGCTCACTTGGTAGTTGATCTACACCAGTTGCTTTGTTGTTCTTCAGCCGACCGATCTCCTCCTCAACTTCTTGAAGATCAGGGGCCGGTAGCCTGTCGTCTTCTGCGCGTGCTCCAAGGTCTATTGCCGTGCCACCTTCGTTTTCTGCTGCTTCACCGTTGAGGTACTCGTCATAGTACCAACAATCAATACGAAACTAACGATTTTGAATTGGCTCACTACTTGACTAGCCTATTGGTCCCAAGCAAACGATTAACGTATCCCATTCTAGTCGAAATTCTAGTACTATGCAATGTTTGTTTTGATTCGCTATGAAAGTTTGACAGATAAAATGAGGGGTTATTGGTTTTTCCTATGTTTCGAGGGGTGAATTGATTAGCTTGGGACCGAAAAGAGTACCAGAGCTGAGCCAAAAAGTTGAGCACGTTATTTCGGGACCTTCTAGTCTTAGAGTTACCTCTATGATAGTATTGCTTGCACCTCTCAATCACCTCACACTCGTTCGTGAGAAGGTTACCGTCCAAGTCCTTGCACATATCGGCTTGCGGCACGTAGCCTTTGCGCGAACTATTTAGCTTCTCGTAGAACTTCCGTGTGTCATTTACGCGGTACAGATTTTCCATCGCCTTGTGATCTCGGGCTTCCTGCTGACGCTTCTTCATTCGGAAAACGGAGTTTTGTCTGTATCGCTCCACATTCAATCTCGTACGGTGTTGCAGCATTCTCGCCCGTGCTGCATTCTTCTCCTCTACTAACAGTTTGCATTCGCCGTCAAACCAGTCATTTCTTCGGTCCGGGATTGCAGTACCTAGTGCCGCTGCAGCAGTACTACCTATGGCTGAACGGATGTCCCTCCAGCCATCTTCAAGAGAAGCTGCGCCAAGCTGCTCTTCCGTGGGTAGTGCAACTTCCAGCTGCTGCGCGTAGTCCTGGGCAACTCCGGCGTCCCGTAGTTGCTCAATGTTGGGTCGCGGCGTTCGACTTCGACGTGTGTTATGCACCGTCGAGAGTTTTGAGCGCATGCATACTGCAACTAGGTAGTGGTCCGAACTAGGGTCCGAATCTATGTTCGCACTGCGGTACGTGCGGACGTTGATAATGTCGGAGAAGAATTTCCCGTCGATTAGAACGTGATCGATTTGGTTTTCTGTATGTTGGTCAGGTGATCTCCAGGTGGCTTTATGGATATCCTTGCGGAGGGAAAAGGTACTTCGAACTACCATACCCCGTGCCTACCATGCCTCCCGTCCTACCTGAGCGTTCATGTCGCCGATGACGATTTTGACGTCCCGTTGCGAATAGCCGTCGTACACCTGCTCCAGCTGCGCATAGAACGCTTCTTTCTCGTCGTCGGGTCTAGTGCACGTTGATGATGCTGTAGTTGAAGAAACGGCCCTTAATCCTCAACTTGCACATCCTCGCGTTGATCGGCTGCCAACCAATCACGCGTTGGCGCATCTTACCCAGCACTACAAAGCCGGTTTCCAGCTCGTTGGTGGTGCCACAGCTCTGGTAGAAAGTAGCCGCTCGATGCCCGCTTTTCCATACCTTTTGTCCCGTCCAGCTTCGAAGTTGCGTTATAGTTCGTCATAGATTAACCTATCGCAGCCCGGGAAGCCGAGCGATTTGCAGTTCCATGTTCTGAGTTTCCAATCGTAGTCCTTATTTCGTCGCGTAGGTCTGTGCCAAGTGTTCCGATTCGTATTTCTTTCTTCGGTATTTGCAACTTTGTTTTTTTTTTTCCAGGGCGGCTTCTTGGGCCTGCCCCACCCCCCTGTCTCGCCGAGGGACCATCGTGCACAGCTCTATTTAGAGTCCCACGCTGGCACAACGACGGTGATTAGCCGCTCCTAACATGGAGAACAGACGCCGTTTTGAGCCGCACCTCCATGGTGAACAGACGCTCAGGTTTGGTGAAGCATTTTCTCTATCACCGTACTATGGTACTATGGTTACCGCGCCAGTGTTCGCGTCGCACCTCTTCACTTTGCTATTGCCGGACTGGCAACATTGCCCAGGCTACGCCACCCAGCTGTGTCCATGTTTCAGCTGGTAGTCTTTTGTTATCATATGACTCGGGGAGGCGTGAAGTAGGAACTTATGAGGACCAGGGCTAGGTATTCCGCTCCTTCCAGGTTGTCAACTCACCATTTTGTAGCCCAACAATATCATATTGTTGGTAAAAAAAAACTGATACAAAGTGCACGAGCAAAACAGCGCAATTCTTTAATATTTTTAAACAAACGTTTTCTTGAAGCTTATCCGGGGTGTCTACTACCAGGGAATCTTAAAATTCTCGTACATCAGCATCAAGCAATTCTTCAAAATTAGAATAGAATACATATCTAGACCAACAATTGAAATAGGCGGAACAACCAAACGAAAACAATGACTTTAAACATAAAATTCTCGAGAATCAAAACACTCCCACGCAAACTAACAATGCCATTCGATAAAGGAACTTTGCTCTATCAGATGACGGTGTTAGATTGCTTGGATGTGCTTTGATTCTGGAGGAATTTGCGTTTAAAGCCATTGTTTACGTTTGGTTGTTCCGCCTATTTCAATTGTTCGTCTAGAAATATTGAAGTACGCCGAGGAATGTTTTCAAGAATTTCAATCCATTGTATAGTAGGTATAACCAACTTTCTTTTCCTCGTTATGTCGACCATAACAAACAATTATGCAAAGTTTCATACAAATCGGAGAAGGTCGCGTCAGATGGATTCGTCATTTAGCGTGGATCTACTCATTTTGTACATGGCCCCATTCAACGGTAATTTTTATTCCTCCTGCATCGAGTGTCACCCTAACCTCCATCAAATTGAAAGATAAATTTAGGAGTATTAAGAGAATTAAAAATAATTTTATTATTGACATAGGTCGCAAGAGTTACAAGGAAGTATACAACAATATCAATACACGCAATTAATAAAAAACAGCTTTCTACATTCACACCTGGTTCGTATTCCATCCAAGCCTGAGTCATCCAGCTCAACTTACCGTACCCAAGCTTACAGGAAAAATAACACAAACAAAAATATGACAACCATCGCGACAATCAGCAGATAGAACATGTTCTTGATCGAATACTTTTGATCCAACGAGAGGATGACCTGCCGCAGGTGTGTTCTAATTTCACCCTCCTTCCGGTTGGGCCCTTCCGGCCGCTGACCCCGTGTCGATACCAAACGCGAGGAAACGTAATTGTCGTCGGCTACCCTGGTCGAAGCATAGCTGGGCGCAATCGTACGCCGGATCGGGTGATCCCGCAGCGCATTCAGTTGGGCATTCTCCGTCTTCAACCGGGAGAGGCGTTTGGTGAATTCACTCAGATAGGGAGAATCTGTTGGCTCAATTTGAACTTCTTCGCGTCTTGCTTCCCGAGGAGTGTACGTTGTGGCAAGCGAAGGCCGTCCAAACGACGAAGACAGCTCACTTTGACGACTGGGTGTAGTAGCTGCGGAAAATCCACTGCCTATTGTTGCCCTCTTACTACTTGTGCTGGTGGATGTGATGTTGGTAGTATAGTGCGACTCACGGGAAGGCGTAAGCTGAGGGCGCGGTCTGCGTTCCGGTATCGGTTCTGGTTCTGGCTCAACCACAACGCTACCCGTCGACTCGGTGAGGTCTATTTCCATTTCTTCTAAGATTGGCGGTTTTGCGGTCATTTCCACTTGATGAACGTACGAAGTGGTGACCATTTCCGCCCGCGACAAAGACGGACTTGCCGACTTACGATCACGACGGTTCATCATTTGAGATAATGGGAGCATCTCTTCATCTTCTTCGGAAGAGTCTTCAATGATCACCGGTTCCTTCGAGGCAGTCACTTTTGGAGCATCATCCTTGCTTAGAACCGGAGTAATTCTACCTGACCTACGCTTGTTAGCTGGATCGAGCTTATCGGATTTTGCCGCTGCCGGTTTCGGTGGCGGTAAATCTGGCACCACCGGGAGCGTTTTCGACAGCTTAGATGCAGGTCCGCCGATGGTGACGCGTCGACTAGATTCCTTCTTCTGGACCTTTTTTGGTTCTTCGGCGGTATCCGTGTCATCGTCGGAGGAAAACTTGGTGACGTGAATCGTATCCCGGCGCGTTTTACTGTTGGCACTATCGACGTAGTTCTTCAATTTCTTTACCACCAGCTTCCGGGTCGTTGCAGTGATGGGCATATTGGGCATGCCAAACTCGAGCATCTTCCGACGCAGTTGATCATTGGAGAGGTCATCGAAGTTTTCCATCCTGGAAAACGGGGAAGAAACGTTATAACATCGATAAATCGAAGGAAATCAAGAAAAATGCCCTCTTACCTCACAAACTTAGCCCAAAACGCGATTTTAATATCGAAATTTGTCCGTTTTAAACGATAGCTTACGCTGAGAACTTCTGTAGCCGTTCACTTTTTGCGGTTTTTAATTGACGTTACACCGCGGCAGAGAAGTTGTTTTTTGAAAAGCCTTTAGTCTTGTTTTTCCACGATTGGTCAAGGTTTCGAGCTGTGTGGCAGGGGTGGAATCAAACATTTTCAGCTCGAATGGAGACTGCTCTGACGTTTACTGAATGCTGATGGCTCAAATGTCAATCACTTCCAGGCATTCACGCCCGGTTGTTTGGTGCAATTTGTGTAAAGCCCTACACTAATAAAATTTCAAAGATTGTTTTTATGTGTCCCACACATGAATTTTTGCAATGTGATCAACAAATGATATCTATGTGTCAGACACATACTTATTGCGCATTTCACACCAAATTGGACTAATAAGCGCGTTTTCACTTATTAAAAAGTGTGATAAAATTGCAAGTTTACGTCTACTCGTCTTGTTGTCTCGGGTGCACTTATTCCTTAAGACATCAAAACGATTTGACGGAAACGTGCACTTTTATCCGAGCTTTTATCACACTTTTTGCATTTTTGGGACAGTCCAGTTTCAGATGCAATCTGCATTAATATGTGTACACATAAAAGCCATGTGTAACCACACATACTATTCATTTGACTCATAAATTCCATGTGTGCTTCTGAGTGGATTCTGTTTATGTGTGGTCACATGAAAATTATGTGGAATTGTACATGGAAATTCGTCAATAAAAATACACAAATCAGTCCTGGTGCACAGCATTACGTACATAATTGTGCCCAGCAGCTCACGGTACGGTTCTTGGGTTGACTCACCATCACGGGAAACAACCAGGTTCTTCTCCATAGGCGTCTTGGTCGGGTTACAATCCGTCATCTTAAAGCGTATCAATATTTTTTTCGATTTCGTTTCTTGAGAGAGTTTCATGGAATTCGTCGCACGGTCGTATTCTAGTTTCATACCTAGGAAACGACTGATCTCACCGCAGTCCGTCATCTTGAACGTCGAACTCAGGGCTTTCTTCAGATTCACAATCGTTTCAATCTTCCTCCCAGCGATGAGCAAATCGTCCACATACAGAATGATATAAATTTCGTCTCCTGGTACCACCCGCACTGAACTTTTCGTTCCAGCACCTTGGGGATTGCTTGAGGCCGTACAGGGACTTGAGTAAGCGGCACACTGTATTAGGGGACGCTGCAACACCGTCGGGAACCGCCATGTACAATTCCTCTTTCAGGTCGCCGTGCAAAAACGCCGTCTTGACGTCCATTTGATGGAAATGGAAACACTGTTGCACTCCGACCGCGAGAACCGTCCTGATGGTGGCCAGTTTTGCCTCCTCGTAATCGACTCCAGCCTTCTACAGGAATCCTTTCACCACCAGTCTCGCCTTATGTTTGACCGCATTGCCGGCCGAATCGTCCTTCAGCCGAAACACCCATTTCGATTTCAGAGGCTTCACTCCCTTCGGACAGCTCGTAAGACGCCAGACCTTGTTCTCCTCCATGGAACGTAACTCATCTCGTACCGCAGCCATTCACATGGCTCGGTCAGCACGCTGGGGCAGTTCATCAAACGATTCGGGTATATCTGCGGAAATCAATTCGCCAGAAATAGCTCTATAACCGATGAAGTAATCAAATAACTTACCGGGGAGCCTGCGCTTCCGGCCGCTATGCCTCGACGACAATTCACTAGGAATTTCGCGTCTTTCTGTGGGTGAAGGGAGCGTATTTTCTGGTTCTTCAACCGGTTCTTCAATATCATCGTCGGGTTCTGCTTCAATTCGATTGATTTCAGGTTCATTATTGGCTTCACGAATTTCATCTGTGGGGGCCGGTTGGCAACGTTCCTCCTCTTGCTCGAACGGGAAGTGGACGGTCAATGGGACATCGTTTTCTTGCTGCATCACAGCGTACGGGAAGGACGACTCATCAAACTTGACGTCTCGAGCAATCGTAAGCTTTTGAGCCACCGGGTCCCAAACGCGGTAGCCGTTCGGAGCGTACCCAACCATGACCATCTCCTTGCTCTTCGCATCCAACTTACGCCTTTGCTGCTTTGGAATCCACACGAAACTCTTGCAGCCAAACACACGAAGTTTGTCCAGATCCGATCTGATACCGAACCACATCTCTGCCGGGGTAACACCAGAGGGCAACGCACTTGTTGGGCTTCGGTTCATCAAGTAAACGCAGGCGAGGGCTGCTTCGGACCACAGCTGCTTCGGCACATTGGATTGGATGAGCACGGAACGGACTTTTTCAACCAAGGTTCGGTTGAACCTCTCCGCTACACCATTCTGCTGGGGCGTGTACGCAACCGTTGTCTCTAGTTGTATCCCTTTTCTCTTGTAGAACTGCATCTGATTTGTGGAACAGTACTCTCGTCCCTGGTCCACCGTCATTCTTGAAATGGACTTTCTCAGCATAGCTGTGACCTTTGCTTCGAATTCCTGAAATTTCTCGAATACCTCTGATTTGCGCTTCAGCAAATATATCATCGAGAAATGAGTATGGTCATCGATGAAACTGACTATGTAATCATGTAACCATGCCGGCGGATCGATCGGTCCGCAAACATCAGAATGAATCCGCTCCAGCGGCCGGCTGGCCCTAGCTCGCGTTTTGTTGAACGGTTCTCGGCATTGCTTGGCTTGTACGCAGGCCTCGCAGAAATCAATTTTGGTTGCTTTTTCATTCATACCTTTCAGCATTCCTTTCCGGGCCATGGTCTTCAATCCGCGTTGGCCGATATGCCCCAGTCGACGATGCCACAGGTTTCCAATCGATACTTCGTAATGGTTCTCTTCAACTTCTTCCAACGACAGCTCAAGCTCGTACAGGCTGCCTCGAAGGTGTCCAGTGGCCAGTAACTTACCACTTTTCTTCAGAACTGCTACGTTTCCAGAGAACAAGACATCGATCCCAGCATTGGCCATCTTCCTAACGGATATCTGGTTTTCACGTAGTTCTGGAACGAAGAGCACATTCTTCAGATTGAAATGTACATCTTTGTTGCTGGTCACGTTGATTTCGCCAATCTGTTCAGCAAGTATAGCTTCTCCTTCCTTGGAGACCTTGATCTCCACGCGACTGGTCATCTTCTTCAGGGCAGCAAAAACGAACTTGTCGCCAACCAGGTGGTCACTGCACCCGGAATCAAGCTTGAAAAGGATTCGTCCAGAACGCTTTTCCGCAATGTTTGCATCGGCCATGAAACTGATGGCATCTTTCTTCGCTCAATTGGCTTCAGGCTGGCGACAATCCTTTTTCATGTGGCTGCGACACCCGCATTTGTGGCACTTACCGAGGAATTTCTGGGACTTCTTTTGGGATCTTGAGTCACCCGAGAACGCTGCCGACTTGTCTTCAACTGAATCACCCTGCCGGTCGGATCGCTTCCTTTCTTCAGCCAATAGACGCTGCTTGACGAGGTCCAAATTCAAATCTTCTTGCGCGACGTTCTCCAGGGCCGTGACTAGGGGATCGAAAGAGTCTGGAAGCGTCAAGAAAAGCTGCGATACCAGATCACTTTCCGCTAGAGTTGCTCCGGCCGTCTTCAATTTTCTCACGAGCCCGTCGAATTCAAGTTGATGCGTCCGCATGTCCCCTTCCTTCATCCGCAAACAAGCCAACTGTTTCCGTACTAACGTTTGGCTCGCGACAGACTTCTTCGCATAAGCCGCCTCCAGACTGACCCACATCTCCTTCGTGGTCGCCATCTCTCGAACGATCTCGAGGCATTCGTCCGACAGGCAACCCACCAGCAACGCCTTGGAGATCCGGTCCGTTTTTTCAAACTTCTTCTTTACAGCTTGTTCCGTTGGAGCCACCTCGGTCAGCACATCCGCGATGCCTTTGGCTTCCAGGAACAGGCGCACTCGATAACTCCAGTTTTGGAAGTCAGCTCCACTTCCACGCAGCAACGGGATGTTGCACGAAACGTCCTTCGCGGTGGTGCCCATAACCTCTTGACGGGACAAACGGGAGACTCCAAACGAAGTATACGGTTTAACAAGAAAAAACGGAGAAAAGTTTATTTAAACGTCTGTACTAGACGAAGTGCGATTGTGGAATGACCAGTTATTAATTTTCACAAACAGGTAACGGGTCGTTGCCAGGGAGGGCTTCCCAACAATGTAACAGGGGAAAGCGACGGCTGATTGCCTACTACGCCAACAATATTTCATGGTGAAAAACTGTTGATATGTCATGGATGGGAACAGACATCTAGAAACTAAGCATTTACCTTTGAGCGACAGATGACGCGATTGTACCTGTCTCATAGCATTCGTATGAGAAAATGGAAGAGTTGTCAGTCTTCTTGATTTGTTGTCTTCGCTTTAAATCAAGTGGAAGTTATAAGCCGGTGCATTTTTGTTAGTGTTCCTGTTCCCGATCCTTGTCTCTGTCGAATTTTATTTCATTATGTGTTTAATGCCCATTTTTGTTTTTTTTATCTATTTATGCCAAGGGGATGGTTACTCCGCACAGTGTACCAAAAACAAGCTTGGTCACACCTGGGCACTGTTTGGCACCCATGGTTACAATTGTTCTGATCTTTAAAGTTACTGGCAACCGAGGGGTGTGACACATCTAAATCTCGATTTTAAATGGTCGAAAAATCTTTTTTCATCTCTTGCATCTAAACCCATAGACTCGCATCGCTCTCGAACTTTTAGCAGGAAATCTTCAAAATCATAATCAATCGTGTTTCTATATATATTAAGCGCGAGTGCATCTCACAACAGCAAAGCAAACAATTTCCTGCATCTTAGATAGAGTCGCCCCCCTCGCTGGCAACACTGAAATTTTTCTGCGGCTGCGCAGTGTGCATGTGTCAAAATTTGTTATTGATGTTGCCACAATATAATCAAATTATTTTCAAAACAAGCATGAATCTCCACTAAGTTTTGCCATGTATTCTCAAAATCGTTAGACCCGTGACGGCAGTCGCGTCCACAGTTCCTCCCAGACGAAGAACAGCTGACAGCGGTATCTTGACTTGACCGAGGTTTCCGGCCATGACTACATGAACTAGCGATGAGCCGGCGCCGGTGGTGTAGT